GAGACCATAGCCATGATGGACACACCTAAGTCATATCAAGTTACTCCTCTGCTCAGAACCCTCCAATGTTCCCCAAGTTTTTAGAGCAAATGCAATCTTTACTATGATCCATAAGGTTTACTGAGCTCCCCCATACTTCCCTTCTACTGCCATGCCTGTCTCACCTCAGCTCCCACTCTCCTCCCCCTGATCACTCCAGGCTCCTTGAACACCAGGCCTCAAAAACACCAGGCCCTCAGCCTTTGCTGTTCCCTCCAACTGGCATATTCTACTTTCAGCTCTCCCAGGGCTCCGTCAGATCTTTATTCAAATACCAGCTCCTCAGTGAGGCCATCCCTAGCTACCCTGCCTCAAGCTGCAATCCCTCCACTGCAAAAAACCCCTTTCCCTGATTTATTTCCCCCTAATGTGTGTACTATATAACACACTCTGCGTTTTACTTATTCATAGTTTTTATTTTCTGACTCCCTCACCAATAAGCTCTAGGAGAGCAGGCATTTTTATCTGTTTATTCAGTGCAAATACCCCCACCCAGTGCCTAGAATATAGCAGGTGTTCAATAGATATTTCTAAATGTATGAGAGGCTGAATTGATATCATGCTTCAAAAGAAAGGGGGGGGGGGGGCGGGGGGGCTTCTAATAAATACTGCAGCTGGGATAACCTTGGGTAGAAATCTAGGGACTTCCCATCTTTATTTTCCTCTTGGTAATATGCTTTCAAATACTTCTCCCAGACTCTAAAATTCAGAGTAATCCCAGAATAAATACTATTTAAAAATCCAGGCAGTCAAATATATAAACCACCTCAAGTAGCTTTGCAGTCTTCCTCTCTCCCCCTACATAGACCCCAAGAAAGAACAGCTGAATCTCTTTTCCATCTGGGCCTTCAGATAAATAAATCATCTGTCCTCATCAGGTGTACTGAATGAGCAATTTCAGAATAAAGAATATAAATATTATACTAGGGGGAAAAGACAGTACTTCCCCACAGAAACTTCTATTTGTACCCTTCCTAAAGCAGCACCCAGCAGGCTCTCATTTAATGAAAAGGGGAACACACTATGCTGCTAACAGTAAGTTGGATAAGACTTCCTGTACTTAGCTATCTCACTTTGCTTTTGGCTTAGACATAAAACTGCCCCTCTAAACAGGAATCGGCTGTACCTAGTCATGCATGGAAAGCTCCTGAAGAACAATAGCAAGTGCCTTCCTTGTACAGACGAGCCTTAAAGTCTCAGGGTCATCAGGACACTTGAAAATTATCTCACCTTCCCTGCCTCCCTGATTTTAGGGATGAGGAGGCTGGGCAAATGACCAATCAACCCACAGGCTACACACCCCATAGTGGCTGAGCCAGACCAGGAACCCAGGCCCACATCCTCCACGGTGCCTGCTCCAGCCCCCACAGACAGCAGTTATTTCCATGGAAAATGTTCAGTCTCTAAGAAAAGCATGTATTGATGCCCTGCAGAGATGAAGATTGCTTTCTGGGACATGCTAGTTCCTGCACTCCAGGGGAAATGAGGCCTATTGGGAGAATCCTTCTGTGTCCTGCCAAGTACTAAGGCCTTCTCTATTCAGATACTGTTCATGACGTGGAAATTACAGAAGGACTTCCATGAATCTAGGGTGTTTCCTGGACACCATGCCAAAGCTTTCTTCCCATCTGTATGCTTCCCCAAATATCATGTTTTCATTTTCTTGTTTCAGAAGTTTTTAAAAGATATCCACAGCGAGGTGGTCTGAGAGCCTCAGCAAATACACCGACAGAAACATTCACCGCTCCCAATTTGCTGTTACATAGCATTTACCTGCTCCCGTAGTGTGCCAAGGATCTGAAAACATGTCACTGATTAATAACTAGTAATTAAGTCTTACCACCTTATCAGGAGATAAGGTTAGGTTCCAGGATTCCCTCTCAAAGGAAGCCATACTGCAGCCTACAGGTAAGTAAGAGGTTTGTCCTGAGGCCTGACTCAGAGGTGTGTCTGCTAACCCAGGCCCAAACCACAAAGACGGTCCTTTCCCCTCTGTTGTCCTTTGCTTCCTCAGCATGGTTTCCCACCCTCTTGGGCAAGCTTTCACTCCCATTTGGCCTCACCCTCCAGCAAGGGCCCTCTGACCACACAGCCTAAATAGCTAGACCCTAAAGCTTCAACAGTAAGTGTTCCGTTCTGCAAGGAAAGATACCTGGGTTAGGCAGCCAGATATCAAATGACAAAGTTTGGCAGAGTACACGTCAGGCCTTTACAATGCTTTATTTGAAAAGCATTTTAACACTGCAAGCTGACAGTCTGGCTCCTGGCAGGGCTTCTCTGCCTTAGGATCTTAAAGGCATATGGTGAAGGTGTGACAAACAAAATGACTGAGCCTGCAGAGTACCTTGGAAATGAATCCCAGTCGCAACCGTTGATGCCTTTGATTTATGCTAGATTTCATTACTCAATATCCACACTGAGGGACTGGAAATTACCTCTCTATTTAGACGCAGGACCTGAACCAGGGTGAAACAGGCATCCTGAAATTCAAACCACTTCTAGAAAGTCTGAGGAGACAATGTTGATAACCCCAAAGCTTTGAAATGTTACAGATTTAGATAGCAGGTTGCCCCACAATTATGTTTTCTTTACATTAAGATTAGCTTTCCAAATACTAAAATTAAGTCACATTGTTATTAAACATTTGCCATTACATAACCCACAAAGTGGCTCAACCCCGTATGGGTAATTATGAGTGGTTCTGTAGATTCAAGTATCAGCTACATCACTTAATATCTAGCTCATGTTTTGCAGGTCACTTACTCTCTCTTGCCTCAGTTTTCCTATCTGCCAATTGGGAATAATAGTAAATACCTACCTCATAAGGTAAGCACTTAGTATGATGCCTGCTACATAGATTTCATTTAATAAAGTCACATACAATTACTATTATCATTATGTCAATGAGTACAAACGTTTTGATCATTTTATTGTTTGTTTCATCCTTCTAGAACTCCTGCCAGCACTACAGGACCTCAGTGGGAAACTCCTTGTCAAAGACTTTTTTTAAGCAGAAGGCAAAGCTTTGGGACCCCAAAGAGACCCAAACCCAACTTCACAGGGAACGTGGCCAGAATCCAAGAGATTGTTTGCAAGAGCTCTACAGTCTCTCCTGCACCAGAAGACAAATCCCGTTCTTCCCAGAGGTGGAAACACCGCAGTCATCCCCAAGCAGCTCCTGCAACTCAATGAAGCCACAGCTCAGTGAGCCTCGGAGGCAGCCCGCCACTGCAGAGGTGCGGCTGTGGGGCTCTCCTGGGGAGCAGGCGTCACTTAGGGGACACTGCATCACGCAACCTGGAAGCTGCAGGCCCAGGGACCATGAGAGGGGCTCAGGCGGTGACACACCATACAAAGAGATGCATTTTCACATGAAGGGACTCCACTCTCTCCAGTCCCCCGGTCCACAGTCACAAAACCCCTGTAGGGACCACAGTCAGGGCTGCTTCTCATCTCTTGGTAGCCTGAGCATCTCAGAGTCGAAACCCCCGTAGGCCCAAATAAATCTCAATGGCAATTTTCAAAAATTCTCTCCAAAACTCACCCCTTAACTGGCCATGCTGAGAGGCAGCCTCAATCCCCTCATTATGAACAGACTGCATCTGTTCTGTTTTCACTGCAACAAAGATGGAAAGTGTAGACCCACAGGTGCCCTCCCTGCAGCAAAGCACAGAGCTAGGAGACCCTGTTCTCTGCCTCCGCACGTGTGCTTTCCCAGGAATCAGCAGCATCTTGGGGAAGGCCGTCTTCAGAATGAAATGTAACTTCATTCTGGGGGACCCACTACAGACATTGGGGGGCAGAGGTCAGGAAAATGACCAAACAATAGCAAAGGACCCTGGGTGTGGAGCAAAGACAATCTGGGTTTCAAAATATGGTTCTGGGGAAGCAAATAAAAACCAAGACAAAGAGGAAAAGAAAGGAAAGAAAGAGCACACTGTTTATCCTACGAAACACCTCCTTTTTCTCTTCCCAGCCTCCATGAATCCCTGCAAAATGCCCAGTTCATGTGGCAGCTGTGTGTGAATATACACTGACAGATATTGATCAGCAACAGATATTGATCACATGAGGGGAGACAATAACTTGAACTTCAGATTCATCCAGCAGTGCCTGATTCTCTTTCACAATCAGCCTCCCCACCCATTCTCTGGCGCTTAAAACAAAATAAACAAAAACCAACTCCTGGGCAGAAAGGGAACAGCAGCTCAACAGAGTGGCACATGCTTGCTGCATTCATGCCATCGACTTCTGATTATCTCTTTCTTGAGGCGCAGCCACCAGCATCGGACTAAATACAGCCCTGGAGAGGAGCCGCCTGCACAGCGACACTCACAGACCTTCGCTCGGAGACAAGCACCCCAGCGTGCGTGGCTGAGCCTCTGTGAAATGGACACACGCTCCGTGAGGCGCGTGTGTCCACACATGACCCTGCACACTGCGAAATCCTTCCCTTCCACAATCGCGTGGCCACCCAACGTCTTGCCTACACCTCGTAGGTGCAGGTGGTCATTCTATAAGAACACACGATGGAAGGACAGAAATGGGAGCGACCGAAGCTCGATGTTCTCACGACCACGTCTCTCATTCACACGGTGCGCCCTACACACGGTGAATAAACGCGCACGGCCAGCAAACAGAAGATCCACCATCTCAGCCCACAGTCACGCGTGACGAGAAAGAAGCGGAGAGGGCGGCGTGGTCGGGGGAAGTGTAAAGCCGCCCGCCGGCGGGGCTACCCTCCCGAAGCCCAGAGCTCCCCGGCCCGCAGCCGTGCCCACCCCTCCGGGGACGCAGACCCACGCGGTGGGCGCGCGGGGTGCTCGCGGAGCCGAGAACCCACGACCAGGACGTGGCGACCGGCGTTCCTGCGGCGGCGGCGGCGGCGTGGGTGACAGCTAAGCCGCCTAAGCACCCGCGGCCGCTGCCCCTCCGCCCTCTTCTCCCCGGTCCCCACTTACGTTCCGAGGGTCTCCTTGAACTCGAAAATTTTCTTGATGTCCTCCAGACTGGCTGCGGCGGCAGAGCTTCCTCTTCTGCAGTTTCCTCTTTCACTCTCGCCGCCGCGGTCCCTCCCTGGCTCGTATTTCTGCTTGTCTCAGGCACAGACTTCCTGCTGCCGCCGCTCGCCCGGCTTCTTTGCCGCGGGTTGCCAGCCTCACTTTCTGCTACTTTCTTGCCTCCCTTCTCCGCCTCCCGGCCGCCCTCCGGCTCCCTCCTCCTCCTCCTCCTGCTGCTGCGGACGCCCCGC